ATTCTGGGTCCGAATAAAACATCAGATCATGCACAGACTATCCTGTCTCTTTCAATTTAAATCTATATTTATTCACACGGGCTCTTGAAAACCTCTATGCGAACACACTTGCCCGAAAAAGTGCGGGGGACGAATTTACGTGATATTAAAAGTAGGGGGGACACGGCCCCCACGTAATCTATGCCCCTGGTTTAATGTGACGATTAAACTTCAAAAGACTATGGATTTCATGAAATAAACATGAGCGCTGCACTTTTCAAAGTCAAGAGAATAATTGTGCATTTTGAATAAGCCCGTCTGCTGTTTTTGTTCAGACCAACGCTAAAATCAATGTTATTTAATTAATATATTAATTGACTGATAAAAATTTAGTTAATATAATAATTGATACTTTTGACTCATCCATTTTCTTATAAGTGGTTTAAAGGCTTTTTGTGAAAACCTGTATCTGAACTGTAAATCACGTTATTCCATTACCCATATCGTACCTCGCTCATATGGTATTAATTGTATTTGTGCAGGTCTTAAAAAGCCTTAAATTTGAGTTTGCAGATAGTACCCTGGATTAATATGTTGCAGGCTCATTTTTGGTAATAAATAATTGATAATAAATAATATTGATGATAATAAATAATCAAATAATATTGGGCTTGTTTTTGAAGCTTTGGTTGCTTGCTTATTTGTCTCGTGAGAGTTGGCAACAGTGTAGACAAAACGTGCACGTTTTTTACAAGCAAGAGACCATAAAATCACCGTGAAATCAAAATGGACTATTCTTATATTTTATGTAATATTTCAGTGTTCATTATAAATGATTTATGCGTGCACATCATTATTTTCACTCATAAATCGAAAACCGCACCGCTGAGAGCAGAGGAGCTCATATGCGCTGCTTTCTTTCAGGCTGTAAGTGAGTTAGTGTGATTAATTACATCTGCAGATGATTTTATCCCGGAGTGCATTAATTCACTAATAAAGCCTCGATGTCTCAAACGCGACCAGGCGAAACGTGAATGCTGAGCAGGGAATTAATGGATTAGCATTTCAGCGTCATGATAAATTAAATCCGCTCGGTTTGATATAGTGAGCACTTTACATCAGGAACTGACTCATCCAGGGGCCTCATATAGGTCTATCTGATCATATTTCAGCAGATTGATTAGCCTATGTCTCATGAATGTTTCAGTTTAATACTTGCTGAAATGAGGCTACTAGTAAACGTGATTTGTAAATGTTAAGTCAAAATTGTAAATAATAATAATACATTAAAACGACGATTATTTCTTTATTTCTGTATTTCTCTACATTTCGTGATCATCACAAAGACCGCAGTGACATGATGTTTGGCAAACTGGCGAAGTTTCTACTGAGCAAATTGAATTAAACTGCACCAGAACTGATCTGCGCGTTAATTTGCAGTGGTCAAGATACGCCATTACATCAAACCGCAATATTCACTCACTGCTTGAACTACAGTAACTAAGTACATTTACTCCAATACTTTACACCTCTGCTTGAACATAAATAAATGAATAAATAAATAGGCCTACATATATGTAACCCTGCTCTGCACACTGTAAATCATCTAGCATATTGGACTCCTAGGAACCGTGAATTACTGTAAATCTCTATACTAACATGTTAGATAAAAAAAAATACTGGTCTCAAAGTAGCCTATTGTTTTATTTTAGTATACCATTAGGCCTATACTTTTTTACTCTTATAGTTTTTTATTAATATTTTGAAATGTAATAAATTTTGATATTTTTTATTTTAATTTGGCTGTTTTAGTAAATTTGTCTTTTTTTGTATTTTAGCCCATTATACTTTTTTACTACCGGTATTATAGTTTTTGTTAATATTTTGAATTATAATAAATTTTTTAATTTTACTTTTGGTTGAAGTTTTAGTAACTTTGTTGTGCTTTGGCATTTATTTTGTATTGTTTTATTGTTTTTAAGTTTTAGTTTATTTAGTTTGAGTTATTTTAGTATTTAAAATTTAAACTAAAATGAGAAACGTGTCCTTGGCAATTAGCTGAAATAAAATAAGTTTTACTTTTTTATATTTTATTTTATTTCAGTTTATTGCTTTTCAAGTAATTATTTGTTTTATGGCTTAAGTGAATGATAAATAACCTGGTGTAAACATTCAAACTATCCAATATGGCGAGAGTCTGAGAAATGGGGAGTGTTCACACGGAACCAGATTTTGCATTCCATTTCTTTTCTATGTAAACACCTGTTTTTATACAGTCTATGGTAAACACGCGGCAGAAGGATGTCGCATGTGTATTTTGCAGCGTCTCGCGCCGCATTTTTAGAACACGAGTCAACCCAGCTAACAAGAACGTTCTAAAAAAACGTTTTGCTAAGGTTCCAATTATGAAAATTTACATTTTTGGATGTTCTTTCTGACTTGCAAAACGTTTTTGTTTTTAGAAAAAACGTCTTTTGTTTTTCCTTTTTTTTTTGTAGAGAAAACATTAAGGGAATGTTTCGTTTTGCAAACATGAGAAAATGTTTTAATGTTCTCTCAACGTTCTGAAACAAGTAATAAGTAGTAACATACATTAGATGAATGCCCATAACGATGTATAAACAACGTTGTGAGAACATTATTACTTGATAACTTTGAACAATGTTCTATGAATGTTATTGGAAGGATGTTTTCGACACAGTTCCAGAAACGGTGGGCTCTCCGAACAGCGTCACACTGAAGGCCTTCACCATGCACATGGAGGTCAGAGATTTATTTTATTTACATGCACGTTACAAAAAGAGTCATATTTGTTAGCTTTAACAATAAAATTTTGCTAAATGTTATTTTTATATACATAAAAAAAATTCTGCGGCACCAAGTGGAATAAAAAATAATGACCCCAAACATAAGTTGTCTCTGCAAATACACTAATATGGTAACAGGAGCAATTTTGATGTACAAAAAAAAAAAAATACACACTTGACCTTTAAATGAGCATTTAAATATCATAGACATGTTATTATAGTTTTTGTTAGTTTTATTAGATTTTATTTGTATATTTTCTGTTTTCATTTTAGTTTTAAAGTTTTCATAAATTTGTTGTTTTTGTATTTCTTTTTCAAATATGTTTAGTTTTTCTAAATTTTAATTATTTCCGGTGATGACGTTTTTTTTTTTTTTACGGTTTTAGTCAACGATAGCTCTGCTTTAAACATAAATATAGATCTAAATTAATGTAAATCTAAAATTTAAGCTTTTTCAATTTTTTAGTTTAAAAAAATATATAGTTGTAAATTTGTGTAATATATCATTAAATGATACATTTGAAACTCCACTTTTTAAAGGCAAAAATAAAATAAAATGAATTAAAATGCTTTATGATATTTTAGTCAAAAATGATTTATTTTACTAGCTTTATTTTAGTTAGTTCAGAAGATGTTGCTCTAAATGTCATTTGAAGAATTGATGAAGCCTCTTCTCACGTGTTCAGGAGGTGATTGAGAGTAAAGTGATGGAGGAGGACCGTTCTGCTGAAGGTGAGGATGGTTTGGTGACGGTCTCAGGTCTGTACACACAAAACCCTTTACAGCGCAGCGTCAGTCAGCTCATCGACAAGAAAGATGAGGAATCATGGGAGCCGCACTTCAGACGCCTCGACAGCGGCCTGGTGAGAGCATCACTTACTGCTGCTGGACAAAAAAGTTATTTTTTTTGTTGCTAAAATATGATTTTGATTATGTGTTGTATGTTTGTCAGTTTGAAGGCGAGGAGTTTGTGGACACCATCAAAGGCTTCAGCACAGTCAGGAAGGAACACACCATGTTCACCGACACCAACCTTTGACCTTCATCATGACCTTTGACCTTCATCATCAGCACTTTCTCCAAACATCATCTCAGAACTGAGCGGAAAATGAACTGAACTGTTTTGGTGAATTCAGAACTGCTCTGGGACTCTATGGACTCGTGACTCGTTTTTTTTATTTGAAGAAAACAGTGTTGTAATTTTATGACAAATGTAATATTTAAGCATTAAGCAGAAGAGGCCAATGTTCCCTCTAAGCTGTGCTTCTTACGTCGCGACCGCGCAGAAGAAATAATATGCCGTGCACAGGACAGATGCAAAAATGAGTTGGGGAAAACCATTTGATTTAATTCTAGGGAATGTGAAATAATTGCAATGCTCGGCGTAAACTGCTATAGATTTGGTGTGGCTATAGAACCAGTGAATGCGGTTTACAGGTTTCATAGAATGTGCGCCAAATCAGTCGCTGTAGAGATCGAATACTTTAATGGTTGTGGGCCAAATAGCTCAACACGC